AAACTTTTATTGTACTGGGGGAGATAGACAAGTAAGTGTTCAAGTAGGGAAATAGTCTAATGTTAGATGAGGATAAGTGGTACACAGCAATGAAGGCATGTGAAGAGTGCATAAAAAGAGGTTACTTAGTTTGGGACCTTCTTCCTGAAGACAGTACAATTAAGCTGAAATCTGCATAACAGGAAAAAACCAGCCATTCAATAAGAAGGTTGCAAAGAAGATGGGAGTAGGCCCAAGAAACGAATCTGGGCAAAGGTTAGGAGCTGGCTGAATTTGCTAAAGTAGAGGAATAGTAGGAAGGCCAGTGTGGCTGGAATACAGAGTAAGTCAGGGGATCCATTATGAGATCAACTTAGAGAGTATTTATGAATCAGCCTACAGTTGTGGACTATATTTTAAGATGATATAGAATTCATAGCATTTTAATCATGGCAATGACCTAACCATGTTTTTTGTTTTTGTACCACGGATTGAATCCAGGAGCACTGAACCACTGAGCCAAATCTTCAGCCTTTTTTGCTTGCTTCTTTGTTTGTTTATGTTTTATTTTGTGACAGGTTCTTGCTAAATTGCTTAAAGCCTCGCTAAGTTGCTGAGGCTGGCTTTGAACTTGTGATTCTCCTGCCTCAGCCTCCTAATCACTAGGAATACAGGCACGTGCCACTGTGCCTGGCCTAAGCATGTTTTTATAACTTTAAAAAATTACTCTGGGGCTGAAAATATAGCTCAGTTGGTAGAGTGCTTGCCTCACTTGCACAAGGCCCTGGGTTCAATCCCCAGTATCACACACACACACACACACACACACACACACACACACACACAAATTACTCTGACTGCAGGGTAGAGGATGAAATGTTGGGATCAAGGGAGGAATTAACCAATTACATGTTATTTTAGTAGGAAAACAAGTTATGATGGCAATTTGGACAAAGGTGACAGTAAGAGAGAAAAAGAGCTGGACAGATTCTAGATACACTTTGGCAAACGAGACTATGGGACTGGCCAGCTTGATCAGACTGGTCGAGAACAATAATCCTGGCTGCAGATATATCCAAGACAGTGCTATCTCAGTAAGGAATGGGCCTGGGAGGAAGAGAAGGGGAGGGAATTGAGTTCTTTTTTTATTGTATTGAGGTTGGGAGGTCTATAAGACATCCAGGAAAATGTGTCAATTTTAACTGATTCTGGAGCACATAGGAAAGGGCAAGAGGATACACATACACATACCTAAGTATCATCCCAATGAGTTATATGAAATCTTTTACTGAGATAACATAACTCCAGGTCATCACAAAATTTGTGATAATATAAGGAAAGGGTGGGGGGAGGCTGAGAAAGAGAAGCTACAATAGTCAACAGAATCCCAAGAGAATGTGGCATCAGGAATTGGAGAGAATAAAAATGCAGCTAGAATGAGGGAGTGGTTTGCTGGGTCAAATGCCAAAGATCTAGATGTGGCCAGAAAAGGAACCATTGGATTGAGCAACATGAATGTAGCCAAGAGCAGAATCCATGGTGAGGACTGAAGATGGTAGAGGTGGGTTGAAGGAAGAAGGAGAGGTCAGAACTGATGACGCTTCAATGTAGGCAAGCTCTTCAAAAAGTTTTTCTGTCAAGAGGAGATGAGAGACAGGTGCTGTGGTACACACCAGTAATCCCAGCAACTCGGGAGGCTGAGGTAGGAGGATTGTGAGCCTCAGCAATTTAGGGAAGTCCTAAGTAAATTAATGTGACCCTGTCTTAAAATAAGTATGAAAAGGGCTGGGGATGTGGCTCAGTGGATAAGTGCCCCTGGGTTCAATCTCTGGTACCAAAAAAAAAAATAAATAAATAAATAAAAAACAAAACAAAACAAAAGGAGGTGAGAAGTGGGTCAGTAGTTAAGGAGGCATGGAGCCATGAGAGGGCTTCCACCCACCCCAAAATGGAAGTTACTGGAATTTATCTAGAGTCAGAAATGTTAACAACAGAAAAGAGAAGGATAAATGAACACATACATCTCTGTTTAATTATTGTCAACTTAAGAATGTACTTGTTCACTTTAAAACTGAATAGGAGGTTATTTTCCAATAAATAGGTTGTAATGGTGACAAACTGTAGGACTTAAAACCTGGGACGTAAGAATAATAACAACATTAGTTTTAAGTGTTGCTATGCTTTGGATATGGTTTGAGTGTCCCCTAAGGCTTCATGTGTTGAAATTTAATCCCTGCTGTGTGGTACAAAGAGGGTAAAAACTTAATCTATAATGTTTAGAGGTGAGCTTTTGGAAGGTGATTAAGATTACATAAGGTCATTAAGGTGGAGTTCTGATGATTGAATTCTGGTGCATGAAAAGGAAATTGCCAGCAAGAAGACCTTTACCTCCAGAACTGTGAGCTAAATAAATCTCTTTTCTTTATAAAGCTACCCAATCTGGGGTATTTCATGATAGTAATGCAAAATGAATGAATACACATGTTTTTAGTGTTCACTCTCTACCAGGCATTATTTTATGTGCTCACATATATATTAGTTATTATTAACAATAATTATCCCTATTCTACCCTTGAGGAAACTGAAAGACAGAGGTCAAGTAATTTTCCTAGTGTCATGTTGGCAGAAAGTGACAGGAGCAAGATTCACATGGAAACAACCAGACTCTGCAGCCTTACCTACCAAGACACTGGTCAGAGGTTTCATAGCTGTCTGCATTCCTTCAGTTCATGACATGTGTTATGATTCACCTCTTCTGTTACTCTTCTTATTTACTTGCTTTCTTTTTTTGTATTTATACCAGGGATTGAACATAGGGGCACTTAACCACTGAGCCATATCTCCAGCTCTTTTTTATATTTAATTTATAAACAGCATCTCACTGAGTTCTTTAGGGCCTCACTAAATTGCTGAGACTGGCTTTGAACTTGTGATCCTCCTGCCTCAGCCTCCCAAGTGGCTGGAATTACAGGCATGTACCACCATGCCTGGCTTGTTACTTCTTTTTTCCCTAGTGAATCAGGGTATATAAACAGAGGAAAGAGGATTTTTTTTTTCAATCGTTTCTCTGGTTGGGTCAGTCTTAAGAGATGGTCAAATCAGATGATGTCAGCATTTAATTGATTCCTTACAGAACACATATAAATATATACTATATATAAAAATACATTTTGACATTTAAACAGTATAGTTTTTCCCACAAAAGTATTTCTTCCATATTCAGATTTGATACACATTTAGACATTATTTTAATGATTGTATAGTATTCAATTATTGGGATATTCCACAGTTTATCTAACTTATAAACATATATGTTTGTATGCTTATGTATTTATATAAGCAATTCACATTCTTGGCAAAAAAATTAGAAAATACAGCTAGGCAGAAAGAATTCCACTCATTCCTTATGTAATAATTATTTATGAAGTATCCATTTTATGTCATGCAACCATTACAAATCATGCTTTCATATTATATAAAAGCATGAAGAAAATGCAACGGTTTTGCAAGAGGCAAAACCATACAGAAGAAATTAGTTATAAAAAACAAGAAAAGAACAGGACTAGAGCTTTAGCTCAGTGGTAGAGCTCATGCTTAGCACACAAGAAGCCCTGGGTTCAATCTCAGCACCAAAACCCCCCCCCAAATCAAAACAAAAAGAAAACCCCAGGAAAAACAAATAATTAAAGAAGGAAAAGAAAGAGATAAAAAGAAAAAGAAACTATTTTTAAAAATCATATACTCACAGAGAGAAGAGACAAGAGTGGGAGTGAGAGCTCGTGCCAGAGAGACCCCAGTAGCAAACGTGACAAATGTAAGCTGCAGTTATTATTTCTGGAAGGTGAGGTTAAAGAGGATTTCCAAATTTTCTTCTCCTTGCCTTTCCCCCTTGTTTTTCTATAATGAACATATATTACTTCAATACTCAACAAAATAAAAGTTATTTCAAAATTCAATATTTCTTCATATTCTGGGAGCACATGCATTACCAGTCATCTTATAGACTGCCAAAGTGGAATCCATTAAGGTAGCAGGACATTTTTATTGTTTCAGTTACTGAGTAATAATTCTCCAAATGATTCCACTGTTAAGAGCGTGCTCAGGGTGTGTGCGTGTACGTGTGTATATACATAATTATTTGTGCTAATTAGTATATACATAATAGTAGTTTATGTAGTATATAGTCTATATATTAAAACAACTAATCGGAGCTTTACCTTATTGTCACTAGATCTGCATATGTATATTAAATCCTCTATTCCTCCAGATGACAATAATTGCCCACATTCTATACCCAAGAAAACTGAGACAGAGAGGTCAGGTAATTTACCTTGTATCATGTTGACAGTAAATGAAAGAACCAGAAATTATACTTAAACAGAAAAGAAGACCCAAGAGACATTTTCAAGGGGACATTTCTGTTCCTTTGTTCAGGCTATTCTTTAAGATGCCTCTTTTCTTCTTATGATGTAAAATTTCAAACATCATAAAAAATACACATAGTTGAGAACCCCCAAAATACGTGTAGGATAACTCATATTCCTGTCTGCCAGTCTCAATAATTATCAACGATATTAGGACTCTCTCTCCAATTGCTTATCTTGTACCAGAAAGACACAGTAATATCTCTGAACAGGAAAAGGGTCTATAGAGAAAAAAAGTGTTTAACATTAAATTTTAAAAAATGAACTTTAAAAACCTTTGCACTAAGTGGTGAGAAAGTCCCCCAATAATTCCTAAGATGTGCTGATGTAGTTGCCACTTTTCCTACCCATTCCTCCATCTTTTCCATAGCTACTTGAATGCATTATTACACCCAGAAAAATGGGAGAACTGAAATAAATCCACAAAGTTCTACCATTGGGTAGAACTGGGGAAATGTCTAGTATTTGCCCAGGGAAAGTGTGGCCAGGAGGACAGTCCAGGAGCAGTGGGCAGGAGGCTGGGGAGATCATTCTCATTACAGGGATCACAGAGCAGGGCTGACAGGTCACTGTCACATGCCACCTGGTTGTACCTACCCAAACTGTTGTCACTGCTTGTGGGCCAGGAAGCAATTCTATCCCTCAGCTTCTTCTTTGTACAGGAATTGTCTGATTTCACAGAAAGGTCTACTTCTTCCTTCCTAATTTCTCGAACCAGCTGCATGCGACACCGTGTAAAATCCTGAAAGGAGATCTTGCCATTTTCATCTGCACCCAGTTGGTTCATGATCTCCGCCACGGACTCTTCCATATTCAACTGGCGACAGACCATCAGCAAGTCATTTCTGCAGAGGGGATTGAAGAGAAGAAAGTGTGTCAGGAGAGACCTTGGAGCTGCAGAAAGTGGTCAATGAAAAAAAAAAAAAAGAAAGGAGTAATTCTTAAATATATTTGCACACAGTAGACCTATTTTCAACTTTCTCAATGCTTCCAGAAAAGTGGTAGTATACCCAAAAGAATCTGTTTCATCTGAGTTATTCTAGACAAAAACTCCATTGTTATTTGGCAGGGTGAGGCAACTTTAATCCTTTGTTCTCTTCCTGTCTCCACGCTGTCTATTTCTTTTGAAATTGAAGAGCTTAGAATTTTTTTCTTTACACCTGTAGAGTGCAGCACTCTGATCTCTCCACAGGATAGAGTTTCAGGACATAGAAAAAACATTGTTTAAACTCTTGGCAGAGTCCAAAATCTCCTCAAGTTGTAAAAGAACAACAGAGATTTTAAATAGGCTCAATTCTCAGCTTTTTGGACCACAGATAATTTTAGTTTTTCTTTAAGATATTACTCAATCTTCATTTTTATGATTCAGTGCTCACCTACCTCTGGTGTTTCCTGTTATTCTATGAGTATTTTCTACCTTCCGAGCAGCAATGGATAAGCCTGGACTACAGAGCAGTAGCCAAACCCCAGATATCTTCCAGGACCAAATGTAATATAAATACGTGTAGTGGGTAGATCTAAGGCAAATGTGTGGAGTTGGTGGGGTTTTGGGCTGGACTAGAAAAGTGTAACTAGTTTACAGGGGTCTCATATAAAGGGGAAAAAAAAGTAAAAAATGGAATAAAAGAACGCCACCACCATGCCGACCAGGACTTCTAATTTGGAGGACATCAGTTTGATCCCTGACATTTAAGTCTTGTTCTTTTCTCTCCACCTAAACTCCTTTGGGCAACATTTTGTTCATACTGCTTCAACTATAAATCTCAATAAAGGTCAAAGAATTATAGGATTTAAGAATTGAAAGAGACATTAGACACTCATCCATGGTCACAAACAAAGCTTAATAAAGCTAACAAATTATGCTCATCACAACAGACCACCAACGTTCAGTCATCTTGAGAACATGACCCAGATTTGATGTCTGAAAACTAGCCATGAAAAATAAGACCACCTCTTGGCACTTTCTTGGGAAGATTCCCTCATACGTGTAAAATTAATAAAACTTTCATGATTTTCTTTTGTTATTGAGTTTTTGCACAGGCTCCCAGATCTAGCCAGAGAGCCCACATAAGAACTGAAGAGTAGGGGTTATTATGGTTTTCATCTTAAATGCCTCCCAAAGGCTTGGGTGTAAAAGCCTCACTCTCCAGTCTGTGGTGCTTTTCTGAAGTGGCAGAAACTATAAGAGGTGATGCCAAGTGGGAGGAAGTTGGGTTATTTTATTTTTCTTTTTTAATATTTATTTTTTAGTTTTCGGCGGACACAACATCTTTGTTTGTATGTGGTGCTGAGGATCGAACCCGGGCCGCACGCATGCCAGGCAAGCGCGCTATCGATTGAGCCACATCCCCAGCCCAGGAAGTTGGGTTATTGAAGGTGGGCCCTTGAAAGGGATACTGGGATTTTGGCTCCTTCCCATATCTCTCTCTGTTTCCTGGCTGTCATGAGCTGAGTAGCTTTGCTCCAGCACACATTCCTCCATGACGTTCTGTCTCACCACAGGCCCTCCAAAATGGAACCAAGTGACCATGAACTAAAACCATAAGCCAAATAAACCTTTCTTCCCTTTAAGTTATTTTTGCAGGCATTTAGTCACAGCAATGGAAATCTGACTGATATAGGGGTTGATGGTATCTCTCTCCTACAATATTTACTCTTTATTGTGTTTTCCCATAAGTTCAAGTCTCTAAAACCTTCTTAATTTATGCTAGGTCTATGACCCTAACGTTTTAGCTGATCACTCTGCTTCCATATGACATCCCATTTTTATGTTCCCATAAAGAATTTTAATACACAGTTACATCTTTTTTCCTCTAATATAAACATATTTCTCATATGTACATATATATTTGTGAAAAGATGGATGGGTAGATGAATAAATATGTACATGGAAGTGAGTATAGAATTTATATTAATTGGAATTTTCCATTTGTCTACAAATGTTGTACATCTATATCTTTGCTTTAACCTTAGAGGCCAGGACACTCATGGCAGGTGTGTCCTTCCCCATCCCTTAACTTCAGGCTTGACATTGAACTGGTTTGTCCCCTGGGATGTCAATGGACTTACATCTGTACAGTTGGGCTTGCTCCCTTCTACTTCTGCCATTGATTTGAGAAGAACACACCATGGTAATTATAACTTCTCTACCTTGAATTACAAAATAAGCCACCCTGGCCAACCTGCAGACTCAGAGCCTAAGAGCCTACTCCAGCTACCCACAAGATGTGTGCTCAAGAATAAATTCATACCTATCAAGGCTAATTATTCAGCTGAGATTTTGTAATTATTCCTCAGCAATAACTAATTGATACACCAAAATAAGGTAATTTAAAAAAATGTTTTCATATACTTATCTGTTTTTATCCTCTCCTATGTACAATCTGCCTGATATTCAGCTGGATTCATGTGAGATTTAGGGGTAGTTTTAATTACTAATGAAGAAATGAAAACAGAAGGAAAGTGTACAGATTTGTCTTTGGGTATAAGGTGCAGATCATGTTTTCTAAAATAAGAATCTATACTGGGCACGCATACTCCTGTAATACTAGCAGCTCAGGAGGCTGAAGCAGGAGGATCTCAAGTTTGAGACCAGCCCAGTCAACTTAGAAAGATCCTGTCTCAAAATACAAAATACAAAAATAAATAAAAAGAGGTGGGTATGTAGCTTAGTGGTACAGTGCCTCTGGGTTCAATCCCTGGTAGCGCGCGCACACACACACGTAAAATGCAAAAAGAATTTCTTTTTAACATTTTTAAACAACAATTTTAAAAAATGAAACTTGGTCAGAAGTAAAAAAAAATGTTTTCTACGTTTCAAACAGTCAAATAATAAGATGTCAGTAATCTCTAATGATAAGAATATGACATTTTTCATGTTCTTAGTTTGCCTGTCTGTATTTTATAACGTTCTGTAGTAGTAGTAATAGTAATATAATACTTTCATAAGTTGACATGTCACTTTAGGTTTTTAAAAATGTGGATACTAATAGTACCTATCCCATAGGGTTGTTCTCAAGATAAATGAGATAATGCATGTAAAGCACTTGACATAGGACTTGGCACATATCGAGTCAATAAATAGTAGTCATCACTATGACTATTTTATAATTATTGATCATAGATCTTTTACAGTGTCCCAGTTTCATGATTAAGGCTTTGTGATGAAGCATGAATTTCTCAGGGGGATAAAACACCTGAAGTGAAAACCTCATCAAGCAGGACACTCTGTCCTGCCCACACGGACCTCCTTCCTCTCTTCCTGGGGCCCACTTACTACATTGGGTTCCCCTGGGAGAAACCCATTCTGTCCAGGCTTGAAAACCCCCATTCTATAAAAAAAAAAAAAGCAGCTCAGAAAGAGGATTTGTGTTCTAGAAATGCCAACTCAAAGTAGAATATGTAACAATGCGTCATTTGGTAAAAAATGTGGTCAATGAGAGGCTGATATGAAAGATCAAAAACCAAAGTACATTGCACTATGCTAATATATTAAAAATACATTAAATATCAGCATAGTGCAATGCATCAGATTGTAATCTATGAATAGTAGTAGCAGTTTTTTGTTTTGGTTTTGGTACTGGAAATTGAACCCAGGGACACTTAACCACTGAGCTGCATCCCCATCCCTTTTTATATTTTATTTTGAGACAGGGTCTTGCTGAGTTGCTTAGGGCCTCACTAAGTTGCTGAGGTTGGCTTTGGACTTGTGATCCTCCTGCCTCTGTCTCCTGAGTCCCTGGGATTATAAGGGGTGTGCCACTGTACCTGGCTAGTACTAGTTTTTAAAAACTAAATTAAACTGAAATTCTCTCAGAATAGAGAAACAAACAATAACAACAAACAAGTCTGCAGGGGAAGTACTATTATCCCATTTCACACATTAAGATACAAAGGCTGAAAGAATCATAGAAATAATATGTGGCAAAGCCAGGAATCTAAACCATGCCAGTCTCATTCCAAAGCACTTGCTCTCCCATTCTACAGCCCAGGGCTCTGAATGTCAATGATACCTAAATTTTAACATGTGAACACAATGAGGGAAAGCACTAATATTAGCAGCTTAATCATTACAGGTCATCAGTTAATAATTCTATGTAAACCAGAAAGTCTATTCATTCATATAAATGTTATTTTTCTATGTTAATTATGAATGAAAATATTAAGTTATATTTTGTTATCAACATTATGGAAAAAAATGTTACATGAGAGAAAAAAATTTCCAAAATCCCTCCTTGATATCAAGAAGTAAGTCTCAGATGGTGGAATTTGATGGAAATCATTATCCTGGTACATGTGGTACGACTCTACATCCTGTACAACCAGAGAAATGAAAAGTTGTGTTGCAGTTGTGTACAAGGAATCAAAACGCATTCTGCTGTCATTTATACCTAATTAGAATAAATAAGTATATAAATTTTGAAAAAGCCAGACACTTACAAAAAAATAGGAATTTCTGGGACTGTCAACATGTGAAAGTTGAATTAAAAGTGTTGTGACTTGTGCTTTTGAGCCAGATAATCCACACAGGCAGGCTAATGACAACATTTACTGGTGATGAAGTGACATTGAGGAAGTTGCTCAACCTTTCCAAATCTCTGTTACCAAATCTTATTGGTAAAAGGGTTTAAAAACAGGATGCACCGCAGAGTATTTCCATAAGGATTAATAGAGACGTGGTATACTAGACTGTATGACAATAATAGTACTAAATATATGTTGCCTCTTTTGTTATGATTAAAAAAAGAAGAAGAAGAAATAAGGCTAGAGCCAGGTGCAGTAACACACACCTGTAATCCCAGTGGTTTGGGAGGATGAAGCAGGAGAATCGCAAATTCTAAGCCAG